TTTATATTGTTAGAAAAGATTTATATTTTGAATAAATGCTGTTCCTTTTAACTTTTTATTCATCAAAGAATCCTGAAAAAAGTATCGCAGTTTCCAAAATATTTGGCAGCACAACTGTTGCCAACATTCACAATTATAATAATAAATCAGCATATCAGAATGATTTCCTAAGGATCATGTGACACTTTATACTGGAGTAATGGCTGAAGGAAATTCAGCTTTGCATCACAGAAATAAATTATATTTTAAAGTATATTAAAATAGAAACCTTTCTTTTATATTGTAATAACATTTAGCAAGATTACTGTTTTTTTCTGTATTTTTGATCAAATAAATGCAGCCTTGATGAGCATAAGAGACTTCTTTAAAAAACATTACAAGTCTTACTGATCCCAAACTTTTGACCGGTAGCCCTAAATGAATCACTATAATATATAATGTTATTTATATATTATATATAGTTATGTATGTATACATTTATATTTATGTGGTTATATAAAAAATGTGTTTGGTGTTTTAACATGGTGTTTTAAAGATGCAGAAACCATAACACCGACTTGAAAAACTTAAAATAGAACACTAAAAACTTCTAAATTGATCTAATAGAAACCATGTTAAGAACTCACAAACCCTATACAGCCAAATTATTCTAATAGAAGAGCTCAGAAAAACCCCCCCTGAAAAATCTTTTTTGATATGATTTAAAAGGACATTTAACAAAGCTTTATTGTTTGTTTGTTTTTTCTTCCAGTACATGCAGTATAAGCCTCAGCACTGACAAGGCATGGCTTTATTCTGAGAGCTATCGGGATGATGGAAAGCTGCTCTCAGCTGGCCAACCGGGACACCACAACATGCTTACACCCCAAGGCATCAACACGATCCACAAACTGACCCCTAACAAGATCCCCTGGCGCTCTGTGCTCAGTAGTGCTTCTCAGGGGACTTTGGGTTCCAGCAAAAAAAAAAAAAAAAAGTTGCTTTGAGTGTTATTATTCTGCTTGCCAATGAGAATAAGAGGTCTAAGAAAGCTTAGCATAAATTCTAAAGCAGTTTCTGAAAACCTGAACTTATAAAGCTTCTAGCCTTGGGCAGGATCTATGAAATCAGTTTATGAGAAATCAAAACTGAGTCCTTTGTGGTTTTGAATGGGAAATTCTTGTCTCCCTCTGATAAGGGACAAACACATTACAAAATGAATGTGTTTACTGCCCTGTGCTACTTAATGCAGGCCTGTTGTCTTCAGTGACCTTCTGGACCTGTATTTTGAAGCGTATTTGTTTTTAAGACACTTTCAAAGGACCAACGTGCACTCACAGATAACCTATTTATTTGTATTGTCAGACGGCATTATCTGACTTGTGATGTCATTTATTGTAGACCATGAATGACAAATTGACTGTAGATGTGTACAGCATATTAACTATAAAAAAGAGATTGAATGCAATTATGTCACCATTCGTTTAACAGGAATCATGCCATACAATTACAAAGAGCACAAAACAACAGGGTGCTGATGACAGCTTCACATGCCATTCTTATGAGAACCAACCAAAGCACGCAGATAAACAAGTAAATTCGTCAGAAGAACCGGGTGGGGTTTGGAATTAAGTTCAGTCACATGAAGTTCAGTAAGTCCACATCAGCTGATAGAAGGTGAGAGTTTGTTGAACTGCTCTAAATTAATGGAATGTAAAGGTCACTGACTAATTTCAACAAGACCCATCTAGATTACCAAATGTAAAATGCAAAAGTTAAACATCACTGTCGATGCATTCCCAGTAGAAGAGAATATAAATGAATAGAATAGAATCTTAATTATACGCCTGGGGCCAGCGGGAATTATTGGACTGTATGAGTGGCAGTGAAACACAAAGTATAATTATACTTATAATTATAGATTATCCAGTGACCAGAAACAGTACACAATACACAATATCAAAACAATAAAACAAATAAATGCTGATTAAAAATGTGATCTGGCTGATCTGGGTATATGGAACCAAAAAAAAAAAAGTTTGATTTAGTTAAAGTTTTAATACACATACACTACACTGTTCAAAAGTCATGCTCACCATGGTTGCATTTATTTGATCAAAAATACAGTAAAACAATAACATTCTGAATATATTATTATTATTTTCTTTTTGAATATATTTTAAAATGTAATTTATTCCTGTGATGCAAAGCTGAATTTTCAGCATCATTACTCCAGTCTTCAGTGTCACATGATTCTTTATGATTATATGATTTGATGCTGAAGGAACATTTCTTATTATTATCAGTGTTGAATGCAATTGCATTGCTTAATATGTTTATGAAAACCGCAATACATTTTTCCTGAAACTCTTTGAAGAATAACTCAACTTTCAAAGAACTTTCAGCCATAGAAAATGTAAAAGAACAGCTTTATTAATGTTGTTATTATTATTATTATTATTATTTATTTTGTAACAATGCAAATGTTTTTTTTATTGTCACTTATGACAATTTAATGCATGCTTGCTAAATAAAAGTATTCATTTATAAAAATAAAAAAAAATCGTACTAACCCCAATTTTTTACTCTGTAGTTCAAGTTATTTTATTTCACACGTGGATTGATGATCCATACAGATCTTTGTTGTTTATTTATCAGTTTATAACATATTCTTGTTTTATGCGTTTGGCCACAAACCATTTGGCAGAAATATACTATCATTTGGCACAAAAACAATATTTTTGGAAATCAAAATTTAACTATTTTCAGAACACCATTTTTAGATGCGTAATATTTTTTATCACACCATATCTTGTTGTTTTCACACTCATAGCATCCCCTAACACAAACCGGATGGTTATATCAGCTGATGCTTTCAGTTTTGGATTCAACTATTGTGTTAGTTTGAGACTAAAGTAACAGCAACTTCTCTGAAACTGTGCTCACAATCCAAAACTTTACGCAGTAGTCAGGGTTCATAACTCCTGAATTTTGTACTCACTAGGTCTGAGATAAGAACTGCCAGTGCTAGTCAAGCGATAACCCTGTGCATCTAAATCTAAAAACAAGCAAAGTGTTGAAGTGTTTTCACTCCTTGCTGAGGTAGAGATGAGCCAACAAAACAAATCTATCCATAGCAACAGCATCATGACAACCACTCTCCCCTGGCAACTCTCCGGATATCTCTGCCAGATCGGTCCGCTGTGCCTTGTTTTTGTTTCCCTCAGGAATGTTCACTTGGATTTGGACAATCCATTACTAAAGTGTATAACTGTATATCAAAGCAGCTAAACAGTGTAAATTGTCTCTTAAAGGGATAGTTCACCCCAAAATAAAAATTCTGTCATCATTTACTCAACCTCCACTTGTTCCAAACCCATATGAGTTTCTTTCTTCTGTTGGCTACAAAAGATGATATTTTGAAGAATGTTGAAAACCAAATAGTTCACGGTAGCCATTAACTTCCATATTATGGAAATCAATGGCTATACCGACAACTGTTTGGTTACCAGCATTCTTCAGAATATCTTCTTTTGTAGCCAACAGATGAAAAAAACTCATACAGGTTTGGAACAACACGAGGGTGAGTAAATGACTACAAAGTTTTCATTTTTGGGTGAACGATCCCTTAAAATTATATCATGGCACTAGAAGTATGTAATTGGGAACAGAACTACAAAAACAGTAAGCCTTGGATGCACTGTGGGGAACAAAAAAAGTTAGCCAAATGTTTAAATAGTATGGTTATGTAAAGGGATTTCTCTATTTTAGAACAGGGTGAACACAGCTCACATTTGACATGACATTTGGTGCCAGGTCCAATGCCACACATTGCATAACCCCACACATTTCAAATGAATGAAGAACAGAAAGAATTGATTTTAACAGATTACATCTGTTTATTCTGGGTCGTAGTTCACACATCAACTTACGATCAAACGAGAGACAGAAAATTACAGTGTCATTTGAATTTCATAAAAATAAAAAATACAGCTGTTCATGTTAAGACTTTCATAACTGCAAACCTCATATATTAACCATCTGAGATACTAAAAAGTTTTTATTAATATTTTGAATTAGGTTTTATATTTTCTTAAAGTTT